GTACAAGAAAGTCTGTGCCTTTCTGTATCAGCACTAATTAATTGTATTATTTTTCTCTTTTAACTACTATTATTACCTTCTTTCATTATTTAATTTACAAACTTAGATATTAAATAACTATAATTGATACTGTTTTCAGGATGTCTCACATCAGTGTTTCAAGTTTTCCTAGGCGTGCAAGCTGGTACTATTATCGTTGTGCACCAAGGTTGGAAGGGTCGATTGATTAGATGGTGGTTTTGGGGAACATTAGCAGGAGTTGGTGGAGCAGTATTATGTCTTGCCAGTAAGGAAGATGGATGGATTCCTCTCAATAAGAATCTCTGGTAAGTTATATTTGTATAATATTTTAATTGATTTTGCTTCAGTTTTGATTAAAATTAAATATTCTTTAAAATATGCATAACCAAAGTTCTCTCAAAAGCATCTCAAAATTATTTCTTTAAAATCTTTGTTAAGTGTAGAGTATAATACAATTGATGTGACATTTTCATTAAAAGATCTAAACTTATGAAAAGTAGGCATTTTTCATTTTTTTTAAATCTTGTGAGCCCTAGTTATTATGACACTCTATACACATACAAGCCCAAGGCTAATTTGCCATATTTGTGATGTTATATTGCATTGCAGTTCCTCACCAATTCTGTTATAACCAGTCATATGAATATCCATTCATGCATTTCAATTTTGGAAGCCACAGGATCCAATTCTTCTAGATAGTTTTTAAATAGAAAAATAAGTTAACTCTTCTTGTTGTTGAACTACCCTTATTTCACAGATTGCACAGATTGCACTCACAATTAATTTCTTAGTCACAAACAAAATACAATGTTGATGCAATGGATTAATGACATCACTTCTACTCAAATCCGCAAAATTGTTCAATAAAGCCCACATCAATGTTGGGGTTTCTGGACATCTGCTGAAAAATGTGTTACAGGATGGAGGATATTTGCCACAAACTGTAGAGCAACTGTAAGAATGACTAAATTAAAGATGACAACAGTGAGATCATTAGATGCTACTGGAAAGATAACAATCACCAAACAGGATTTAAACTACTAGTAATTCAATTGCATAAACTTTCTCACTTTATTGCTAACTTCTGTAACTTTCGATACATTTTTAAACGAAATTTCATAGAGTTCAACAAAAATGAGACCTGCTCCGTTTGCATTCTAGGCAAAAATTTAAAAATTAATTTTTAGCTAATTGTTTTAAAATAACATAACATAATGTTGTTTTTGAAACTAGTCCTTAAATGACATCTTTAGTGACCAATAATACTAATATTTTATATTATTGATTTTGCAGGTCTGTGTCGTTTGTCCTTGTAACCTCATGTTTTGCATTTTATCTTTTGTGCATCTGTTACGTGTTGATAGATGTTAAAAACTGGTGGAGTGGCGCTCCATTCATTTTTCCAGGTCAGTACCAAATTTAATTATAATAAAATTGATAATAATAAAAATTCTGTATTTGTTAGTAAATTATCATAAATGTGTAATTAGAATTTGAATATTAATTTCTGCAGAAGAACAAGGACATGAATTATTTACAATTGAAAAATAATAAATATATGAGTAATGCATGTCTTCATGTTACAGGTATGAATGCCACGATCATGTATGTTGGACATTCCATTGCTTATGATCTGTTTCCATGGCATTGGTCTTACGGGTTAATGAATACTCATTTTATGTTACTATTGGAAAATATTTGGGGAACGTTGCTGTGGATTCTTATTGCATTTTGGTTATACCGTGTGAAATTTTTCCTAGCCATATAATTTATTAAGTGCTTGATAAAATACATGCAATTTACAGTATGATATTTCAATAACATTCTCTTTTTGTATATAAATGTGAAACATCATACATAATAGAAGTATTTTTTAACTGGCATTTTACAAAATGTATATATTTTATTCATTATTGAGTTTCAATAAAGTAAAAAATAAACTTGAACATAGAGCTCCTGTGCTTCCATTTAGAAGATGATACTTGTACCGTTTTTTGAAGTTTTGTAACATGGTTGGAAATTCTTTTCCAACTGTCGAACGTTACACAGCTTCTATTGCAGAGTGTGATCAAAGAAGCAATTCCACAACTCTGTGGAGGACAGGGAATGTGCCTTGAGGAATAAACTGCGATCAACACCACCTCCCCAAGTGCACTGAAGGAAAAAAGTCCTTTGTGGATTATGCAAAAACACTAATGCAAATTCCTGCAGTTTTCTGTAATTCTTCCAATCGGTTTCTGAACATTTTAATTTTTATCTCGAATTTGAGGCATAGAATTAAGATAATACACAATTTTAATGAAAAGTAATCCCTTTGTGGATCAAAGATCATTGTTTTCTTAATGTACCACATTCATAGTGATGTGTGATTCTATATGTCATATATTCGTACATATATGACATATAAAACATACAGAAATATTTTAAAATAATGAAAATTGGGTAGACATATTAGTTTATCCGTATATTGTACCTCTGTTTCAGTATTATTGCATCATTGTCTAGAGATAATAATTTTCTACTTTTACTTTCTCTCCTTATTACGTAACTAGAAAAGAAAAGTGCTGTAATTGTGCAGCAGAATGGGCGATTGTTGCACGGAAAACAACTTATTACTGTTATTGAAAAGTGGATAAATATTGTTCTTAAATTACATCGTCAAATGCACCGTACAGTCAGAATCCGTTTTGTTCGTCAGTAATTTGAAAATTTATAATTTTACTTCCTCTCGTTACTACGTAAGTAGTGAGCTGTTTAGACATATCACGTGTGCCAATTGTCATAAGCCCACGCGCCCCGAAGCTTCCCGCCCCCATCACATTAGCTACGCGCAACTGCCGGCTGCCTCAAATGGGGTTCGAATACTCCCCACCCCACAAAGGGCGACAGCGTCGCTCTTCCAAAGCCACCCTCCCAATCGCTACAAAGAATCTGAAGACACCACCCCTCTGGGACTTCCGTCCCCAAAAGCAAAGAACACACTCAACGGTGCTTCGCGCACTTGACACACGCGATGCTGTGAAAACTCGGATTACGTTTGTATCGCAAATGCCTGCCCGCTAATCCTTTGGGACTAGCTGTATTTCTTTACCGTGAGCGTCGGCTCCTAGCAGAAGCCCCCACCCGTCGTCGTAAACAGTAGCCAAGCCAAAGGCACCCTATTAGAACGATCAGATTATGTAGGTCATCAAAGTGGGAACTGGACCGACCAATAGGCATCCACAACCCCATAGAATATTCTAGAAGTATTTAAGGAACCAAAAGCGTCATAGGACGACACACACGTGACTAAAGGGCACTCACATGGAGAGATGCTGTATGAAATCCATCGAGAGAGGACAGGCTGACTGAAATCCTTAGAGAGAGATTGTCTGAAATCCATCGACCGAGGCAGTTTTTGATTTTCATCGAGCAAAGACGCATTTCTTTAAATAACTTCGAGATTTGTGACTATTTGACATCTCAACTTGAATGCTACAAAGTTTTCGCTCCACCTGATACCATCATCTCTCGAACCAGTGAATTATTTAGAACTGTTATCAAACAAAATAATCACGTCAAAGGAATTTATTCTGTTCTGCGGACGAAAGCCAGAACGTCCGAAAAGCACTTGCCACGGTGAGCAACCTGCCGCGACGCGAATAGAGTGACATATGACGGCTCTACCCAGAGAGAAAAACACACTCCATCATTCGTGCGAGAGCGATGGTCTCAATAGTCGGCGCTAGCTGCGGGCACAGGACTGACTTGCTACGCCGACCCTCCTCTAGCGGCATTACCTGGCGTGCGTGAAACCAGGACGGCGAGGAGCAATTCTCTATAATGAGGTAACCCAAAAGTTACCCAAAAGACTGTAACGTTAGTGGACAAAGAAGGGGATTGCGTATTTATGAAGTCATAAAATGTCCCTGTAATAAAATAATGTCATTTTGAATAATTTAGTCTAAATTACTATTAATAATATTGGTTGAAAACCCTAATTTTTCTACAATTTCTTTCTACAGCTACGATCATGAAGATGCAATTTTTTCTTTGTGAAATGTTTTCATCAATAACAATAATGTTCAATTTTCCCAAAACAGGGGTATTTTTTTCGAAGTTTTGACAGACAAGCAATTTTTATTTTCTTTAAACCACTTTTTCTTAAAAACAGCATGTTTTTCATTAAATTGGGAACTTGGCACGCCTAGAAGAGAATTGTGCAGTTCTCCTGTTCATTGAAATATGTAATTTTGAGAAAACTTTTAAAAAGGTTTAAAATATAGTCTTCATCCTACAACTAAAATTGTGAAGATACAATTTTTTAATGAAATGTGTACATAAAAAAATCTTCAATTAAGGTGATGTTTTTTGAACATACGAGTATTTTTGTGTAATTTAGCGGCAAAATTAAATTCCCATTACGAATTTACTGCACTTCGTAAATGATTCCAGACAGTTGGACGCTTCGTAAGTTAGAATTTGTATTTTATTTAATATGTATTTGTTCGTTTCTTACATTCAACCTTTTGTTACACATTTACACATTAATCTTTTAGAAATTATTGAAAACTTATTTGAAATATATAAAATAAAAATTGCTTGATTTCAGGGAATTTCAACAATGTAACAACGGAAATCCGCGTCGCGTTCGCAGATTCTTGTGAATTTTGTCTCATTATTCTGATATGATTTAGCTGTATTAAAAAATTATAATTGTCAAATTTTAGTTGATATTTGTTTTGAAATATTTAGTTTTCGCTTCAAATGCTCTACCATTTGTCATAAGTAGACCCCGAATTTAATGCAGTAAAAAGTTAATATTATACATGCAACAATTCACTTAAAATAGCATATATACGCGCTTAAATCTCAGAATGTGCGTTAAACAAAAATGTAGTGAGCAACAGATAACATTTATTTATATAAAGCTTTATTTTACACCAGTACAAAACACGCGTAATAAAAATGTATTTCCAAACAATAAACAAAAAAGTTGCCAAGCAACGAAAATGTCTCGCTTCAGCCCACTTCTACGCAAAAACCTAGAATATATGCTCTTACTACATTAATAATAATATGCAGTTAATGTAAAAAGTCTCAGAACTATACAATTATGTAAAATGTGCTACTTTTGTTTTATTTTTTGTGGTAGGATAAGTTATATACATTGTCTTTCGATATGCGCAATCAGTAAAAATATGCAATTGCATGAAGTTCCGCGGACTAGAACTGAATAAGTGGTGCTACAATTCCCCCAAATGTGAATGTACCTGTACTTCCGTTTGCGATGAATTTCGCAGCAGTTTTTTTATAAACTACTT